ATTTCTAAGCCCTACCTCTAGATTCAGATTCAGATTAGGGTCATTTATAACTGCCTGGTAATTATAATTGGGGCCCCAGATTATGCTGCTAGCTTCAAAATAAAGCCAATAATCTAATAACAAACATGAAAAATTAGAAAACTGTTACTATGTTGCCAACTCCAATATGCCCAGTTAAAAAGCTGTGAAAACTTTTCTCACTGGTTTTCAAGACAGTAAGTAATTTAAATTGTAACAGTATATACATTTTCTCTCTGAAATTCAGTAAATGTTATTTCAATCCAAATGCAGACTCTAAATGTTTTTATTATTCCATACTTGAATCTTATGCAAAAAAGTTAGAGTATCACTAATTTGAACATTCTGATGTGGAAAAGAAAGGTAAGAAAATGGTCCAAGTTATCTTTATTAAATATATAAAAAAAGACAAAGTTCCATATTTGGTTGCACTCCAAATCAACTAATTTGAGCAGATGAATCTCTGACTTAACTGGCACTGTTCTTCTGTTTAAAGGTGCAGCTTCATTCAAAAGGGTATCAATATCACAAAATTGTTCTATTCCAGAGAAAAGACAGCAAGAGCTGAACAAAGCCCACCAAGAAAATGTTCAGAAACACAAGTAAAGGTTTTCTTCTCTGACTTTGTCTCCTCAAAATAACTATTAGGCTACAAAAGAACACAAGAATGAAATTTCTAGAAATGCATACAAACATATTTAAATATCTAACTAAGAAGATGGGCAAGTCATAGAGCAACTGACAAAAAGAAAATATGGCAGATGCTGCCCTTCCTTCAGGAGTTCATGGCTACCAAGAGATCTGGTTCCTCACATGACCACCTCAGCCTTCTGTGCCAATGACTGTAGTTGCATTCTGAGAAATGAAATATTCACATCACAATGTGGTGTATCTTGTAATGTCAATAGTTCAGCAGTAAGATTCAACTGAATCAAGGCCTAACCTGTAAATCACTGCAAAATAAATAAAAAGATGGCAGGAAATGGCAGATTTATGATGTTGTCTAGATTTTCTTATAAAGTAGCAGTATTAGGAAAATAGATCTTAGTCATAAAATAATTAACAACCCAACAAAGGTCAAATATACAGAGATAGGAAATAAGAAAGTGATTATCAGGCTGAAGGTGGTCAGGAGAAGGAAAGGAGACATCCAGGTCAAAGGATACAATGCAGGAGATATAACAGATGATGTGTATTACCTTGTTCCACTAGAGTTATCATCACCATTTTACTAAATATATATTATATATATATATGTATGTATCTTATAACATCATGTTATATACCTTAAATATACACAATGAATTTTTTTTAAAGTAACTCACATGATACTTCAGCCCAAGCAGAAATTCTACTGCAATTCTCTTCCCCCAACTTGATATTTATTTTTTCCTTTCTAAATGATTCTTAAATATCACTGTCATTGTCCAATTCATTCTTCACTTCCTCCTTCAACAGACACAATATCAGCCAGCACCCCTTCCTCACTGCCCATCCAGATCCATCCGTCTTTTATAAACTAACTCAAGGTCCCCATTCCTCCTTGAAGCCTTTCCAAACGAATTCAGTCCCCAAGGATATACTTTACTGCCATGCATTCAGTAAGTCATAAGTCTTGACTTCCTCAATCAGGCAACTATGCTATTCAGAATACTGGAGAAAATGCTTGTATACCAGATCTGTCAGATCTTGGTTGAGTCTTGGCATCTTGCAAACTTGGAGCATTTCTTCTTTGTATCACTTAAAGCAGTAGCTTTCAGACTTTTTGGAACATGAGGCATAATGAAGTATACATTTTACATCACAGTCCATTATGCAGGCATGCGCACACGCACACACACACACGTGCACACACACACGTATATATATTTAAGGAATTTCATGATACTTACTATTCTGTTTTACCCTTTTATTTTTCAAAAATACAAATACTGATCAGACCTATTAAACTGACTTCACAGTGGGTTGGTTTGAAAAGCCCCATTCTTGAAGGACACTTAATGATTACTATGGGATTACTGTAACTATTTCTCTCATTAAAAAAATAATTTTAAAAAGAGTATCTAGCCTTGAGGGTCTCTTTAGCCTTTTGGAGTCATCTAAGACAAGTAAATACTTGGAATATATACTATTTGTCATTCTTTTCTCCTGAGCCCTGTTCTCATAAAAATAAGAATCCTTGAATTTTTATAACTCATTTCGCTAAAACTCAAACCTCTATTCCCTCATTCTCTCTCTTATTTTTCTAATATGCAAAGTAGGTGGTAGATATTTGTGGATGATTATCTGAGTCAAAAAAATTAAGATTTATTTCTCCTTTAAGCAGGCTATTGTAAATTAAGGTAAATACAGTTTCTAGATATTTGAAGAATATGAATTTGGGTAATCAGAATACCATAGATCCTCAAAATGAATGCATCACCTACCTCACCCGGATCAAATGGTTTACTGACCAGATGAGTTGGTAGCCCTTCTGGACTTCAGTTTGTAGGTGGATCCTGCTGCCCTCTCCATTCTTATCTTTCCACCTTTATGTACTCACACTGTTTTTCAACTTATTTTTCAAACTACTTGTTTTTCTTGGTGTCTACTTATTTTGGTCCCTATGCCAGGAATGTCCTTCCCCTCTCCTCTTCACCAGGATAGGTCCTCTCATTCTTCATGTCAATGGGAAACTCTCCTTATTCTCCCCACCTCTACCCTGGCTTCCACAGCACCCTGTCAGGGCACTCTACCAGCGGTTGCTGGCAGTCTCCCTCCCAAGTTTTGTAGGTTGAGCTATGTCTTTTTTATTCTTTGGGTCCACAATCTAGGACCATGTCTAGTCCAGGATTAACTGTATGTTGAATGTATTAACATATATTCATGAATGAGTGAATGAATGAGTGCAAAAGGGCAGGAGCAGCTGCCACTGAAAGAACTCAAATCTGAGCTGTGGCTAGAATCATGTGTCCTCATTCTCTGAGGCCAGTATCTTACAATTTTGTGATTCTAGGACCGATAATACTGTGCTTCCTGCAGGCTGCAGATTTTGTGACTGGAAATTCAAACAGTGAAGTATAGCTGGATCTAAACATAGTCTTTTAAGTATGTTGAGGCATAATTAAGAAAATGTTGCAGGAACAAATAATTAAGTATATTGGGCAATTCTTTTGAGGCAATTAAAACACTCAAATTTCAAAACAGCTTGCTGGAATCCAGCCTGCCCTCCAACTGACACTGATCTGACTCACATTACGCTTCAGTCCTCTTGTGATTTTGTCCCAATCGTTTTCATAGAAGGCTAGTTAGTGATTAGGTGAAACCTCATCACACCACAACACACTGTACATGGCTCTCCATGAGTTCCTCTGCTGTTTCCAAAATAAATTTCAATCATATAACATCTAGACTTGCAATTGCTTTTTTTCCCCTCTTTTGAATCAATAACCTATTTCCCCAATTAAAGACACACAAAACTTGAAAAATTAAACACACGCAAAAACTCAAAAAAATGTTCTTCCTGCTGTTATTTCAAAAGGACATTCTCTCATGCAAACTCCTGTCTTTTGCAGATAGCAGCAGAGAAGATTTTCTGCTTTGTGCTGTGACTCATGTATCTTTATTCCCACAATTGTTACTCAGGGCAGGCCAATGGTGAGCACAATGGGAAAAGAAAGAATAGTTTATAACTGGAAAATAAGCACATTTGGGAGAAGTACACTCAAAGCATTATCAAAGTAAAATATGCAGCAGCACCAACAAGAGCAAACAAAAGCCCACGCAGGAGATGTGTAAATATTTCATGAAGCTAAGCCTTAATCAACCCTCTCTCTCAAATCTTGCTGGTGTTGTAAACACTTCAGTTTCTTCTAGTCCCACCATGACCCAGATACCTTGCAAAAACAAAATGAAAACATGGTCCAATGGATCTTTAAACAAATGTGTTGTGAAAATATTTAGATGGAGCATATCCAAGTACTGCTTTAACCTAGAGGAAGAAGACACCTTACTCAAAGGTGGGTGCTTCTTGAATGACTGCTCAGAGCTCCGTTTCTCCCCTCCCCCTCCAAGCCCTTGCCTTTGCCCACCTCTTCGGCTGCTTTCTGGACATCCACATCGTCTTAACCTTGAACTGCCCACACCCCAAGCAGTGATTTCTCCCAACGCCCCTCCAGAAAGCCCTTGAAACCTGGTCTGGATTCGATGCCTTCCCACCACACAATTCACTTCCCAGTGTCTATTAAGTATCTCTCCTTGTTTTCGTCTTTCAGTGTCCATTGTTGCGTCTGAAATTTTGCCTACATCGTTTCCATCTGCCTGGAGAGCATGAAGATCTGTGTGTGTGTTGGCTGACGGTCTCCTTCAGACCCCTTCTAAAGCCCATCTTGAAAGAGCCGTTTTTCACCTCTAGTCTCTACCTTGATTTAATGTGGTTCCAAAGTTCGCCTCTATTACTGAACAGGTCTCTACAATGATTTCCCTTTATCAATCTCTGCCCGCCCTTCCCAGCTTTCTGCCTACCTCAAGAAAAACTATATACATATGAATGTGTGTGTGTGTATACATATAAATGCATATGCAGTATATATTTCTATGGTGTTTTGACCTTAACGAGGATAAGCACAGGAAAATGAGATAAATGTTTTATTACACACACACACACACACACACCCATTCGGATATTCGCAGTGTGCAGACCTGACTGATTATAAATCCCCCTGCCCACGATCCGCAGGCGTCTTCTCCCATTTACCTTCAAAGCCAGAGCCTAAGAGAGCAATGACCTTGCAGAGAAATTCATCACCTGCGAGAAAGACTGCCCCTCCTAGAGCGCAGGGTGGGACGGAGACAGGAGCAACAGGCAAAGGATCCCCGGGCAAAATGTGGGACCGAATCCCTTCCGCATCTCGGGAGCACACCGCCAGGCTCCGGTCCCCGGCGCCGGTCGCCGGGCTGAAGTGCGCAGGGGGCGTCTCCTCCCGCGGCCGCGGGTCTCCTACCTGCTCTGCGCGGCTCCGCGGCGCGGCGGGGCCACTGCCTGAGCTGCGGCGGGGGCCTCCCGTCTCATATCCCAAGCGCCTGCTCTCGGCGCCACGCCGTTGGCTCCTGCGGGCCCGCGAGCTGAGGTCCTTCTCAGCCCGGTCCCGGAGCGAGCTCCGTGCGTTCAGGAACTGAAATTACTATGCAAAGAGCAGAGGCGGCGCGCAGCAGCCGGGAGGAGACCGAGGGGGCTGCCCCCACCGCGGGGCTGCAGACGCCGCCGCCGCCCCCGCCGGGCGCAGAGCCAGTTTGGAGGTGAGAGTTCACTTGCCCGACTGCTCATCCGTCAGGCCCAGGGTGCACCCATCTGTCCAGCGCTGCCCAGCCTGAGCATCAGAGACAGGGGCGACAGCTTTGCAGGCGGCAGCGGCGGCGGTGGCAGCGGCGGCAGCTGGAGGCCCAGCTCCGCCCCTCCAAACCCCCGCCCCCGCCTTCCCGGTCCTGGGGGAAAGAGTTGCAGCCCAGGCAGATGGGAAGGGGCAGGTGTGTTGTGGTTCTGCACCCCTGGAGACCAGAGACAGATGGAAAGTTAGGAAGGGATTAAGGACGGGGGCTGGGGGCACAGAGCGATTCAGTAGGCATTCTGGCCCTTGCTCCTACCCACAGGTCACCAGACTCCATGACTGACTCTGGACTCTGACAGAAGGTTTCCAATAAAACCACGTGCAGCGAAGATCTGAAAGCAAGATCATCCGATGAGTAATATGTTTTGCAAAATGTACAGTATCCTGCGTTTTTGGAGAGGCACTGCTGGCAGTGTTCCTTTCCCCACCCCTTCCCCCTATCCCATGGGCTTGGAGGGTTTTGGAAATCGTCCCTGTTGAGCAGCTCCAGAATCCTGAATGGATGTGTAGTATGTTTAGCAGCTGTAGATGGTGCAAAATGATTCCATAAGAGCTTCATTATTAACTGGGTATTTGTTGGAAGGCTCTGTGCAAATGCCTTATATACAGCATCTGTAGTTCTTACTACAACCCATTGAGGTGGGAATTATTCCTCACTTTGTGGAAGAGGAAACAGGCTTAGATGATCTAAACACTTTGAGGTCATGCAATAATAATCTGCTTAGCTGGAATTCAAACCAATCCAAAATAGATCTTCTCAACTAGTACACAGCGCTCACCTAGGAAATCTTGTTAAAATGCTGATTGTGATCTAATACATCTGGGGTAGGGGTAGGGACTGAGGAAACGCTTCCCCCCGCCCCACCCCCAGATGAAGTCTCGCTCTGTCTCCTAGGTTGGAGTGCAGTGGTGCGATCTTGGCTAACTACAACCTCTGCCTCATGGGGTCAAGTGATTCTTCTGCCTCAGCCTCCCAAGTAGCTGGGATTACAGGCACCTGCCACCGTACCTGGCTAATTTTTGTATTTTTAGTAGAGATGGGTTCTCACCACGTTGGCCAGGCTGGTCTCGAATTCCTGACTTCAGGTGATCCACCTGTCTTGGCCTCCCAAAGTGCTGGAATTACAGGCGTAAGCCACGCCTGGCCCAGGATAGGCATTTTTAACAAGTTCCCACGTAATGCCCATGCTACCGGCCAAAAGATCAAACTTTCTAAGCCACTAGATCAGGGATTTTAAATACGTTTCTTCTTTAATGCCAGGTCTAGTTAATTGATAGCTGCTTCCTGAAGGTGGGTTAAGAAAGATTCTCAGGCTGTGTCTGGGTTCTTGGGCTAGCCACGTTCATTTTGGTTGAAGATGAAGGGACTGGGTGGTCTTCCCTACACTAGGCCACTTCTAAAAGGACATCTTTATTATAGGAGTAGTTGTGGCATAATATTTATGTCATCATAGTATTTATATCCTAAATATGCTAAGCACAGATGTCTTTATTCCAGTTCTCCCCCCATTAAGCAAACTAAGCCAAAGTTTTAGGCCTAACATTTGCATAGGATGAAACACTTTACAAAGTGCTCATGTGAGTAATTTTATTTGTCTTTATACAACACTGTAAGGCAGATATAATTTCACTTTACAGGAAAAGAAACTGAGGTAGAGTGACTTTCTTGGGATTATATAATCAATATATTCCACGTGTGGTAGGGACTAGATTGTGACCGATCTCCATTTCTGCTTAGGGCTGTTTTTATTATGCTACTGTATTCATTTCCTATTGCTACCAACAAAGTACCACCGACTGAATAAAACACAAATTTATCAGTTAACAGTTCTGGAAGTCAGACATCTGAAAATCCGTCTTTCAGAGTTAAAAGCAAAGGCCTGCAGGGACTGTGCACTCTTTCTGGAGAGTGAGGGGATCACCTGTTCCCTCCTTGTCTTTTCTGGATTCTAGAGGCTGCCTGCATTCCTTGGCTGGAGAACTCTAACCTCTACTTCTCTTGCCTCATCTCTTCCAACTCTGGTCCTCCTGTACCCCTCCTGGAAGGACCCTTGTGATGACATGGGGCATACCCGGATAACCCAGAGTAATTTCCCCATTTCAATATTCTTAAGCATATCTGCAAAGTCCCTTGGCCATGGGAGGTAACATAATTATAGGTCTCAGGGTGCAGATATCACTGGAGGGTCATTATTCTGCCTATCAAAACCACATTTAGTACTTATTCTGGAGTGTCTACTAGACCTAATTCATCCTTCTCCTCTGCTTTATTTCTCAGACTGCTGGGAAGTTCTTTCAGCTCAAAAATTTACAGGAAAGATATTCAAGAGACAATAATTACAAATCAGTATTGGCAAGAAGTATCCCAAGGTCATGAAAAAAATCATGAAAAGGACACATAGGATTATGATCATGAAAAAGACATTTAAGATGTGGAGCTGCTTTTGGTCTGATTGACACTGGGGTGATCCTTGAGGGATGTCCTAAATACAATTAAAGGATCTCTCTAGCAATACAAAGGTTTTAAAATTTCTGCCGCTCAAACAGCACACAGTTCCATGATGAATAAGGTGATTCAAAACTCATGCAGAATTGAGTACAGCACCAAATTCTAAACAGGGTGATAGTTTCCAGAGTGATGATAAACATCAAATCAGTCCATCAAACAAAATCAATAAATGCTATTGAATGCCTTTTATACTCAAGGCACTTACAGAAAGACTGATATACAGAAGATTGTCATTTCATTGGGGACACAAAATTTATAAAAAACGAAATCATAAAGGGTTTAAACAGAAGAACAATAGAAGAGACTTGAGCTGGTACATTATTAATTGCCAAGTGAATTAGATGAAGTGAACATTTCATTTGCAAGTTAAGTTTATCCAGAGGAATGGAGACAAAACTAGAAATGCAGGTTGGAAGGCTATGTTGTAAGGATGTTAAATGTCAAGCTGAGAAGTTTAGACTTAATTCACAATAATAACAATGGTAATAGTACATTATGTTGACATAGAGCCGAGTAATTTACTAAGTGCTTTTTATATATTTTCAATCATTTGACCTTGTCTCGTCTCCCCCTAGACAAGCAGGCCAGTGCATGTGGGAGTGCATAAAACACACACACACACACACACGCACACACATGCACACACACACACATACACATACCCCCGCATGGAAAAGGAAATGCAAGCCTCTTATCAAAGAGACTTTCTTGACCGTTCCATATAAATTAGCAACTCCCCTCAACACTTATCTGCTTTACCATACTTTCTATCCTCTTTACCCTGCTTTACATGTTTCTGTTGGACTTAGTACTACAGCTTGATCGGTATGCATTTGCTTATTGTTCGTCTACCTTCTGTGGCTCATTTGTTCACTGCTGTATTTCTATTGCCTAAAACAGGGCCCAACACTTATTCAGTGCTCATAAATATTTGTTACTGAATCATTACTCCCAGTTTGCAAGTTAGGGAAACGAAATCCCAGACATTTAAGTGAAACTTTACAATGTCCTACAGCTACTTAGTGGCTTTACCAAGGCTAAAATCCATTGTCCAGTCCAGTGCTTTTTGGATAATGTATTTCCTTTCCAAGTAAAAGTGTTAGTGGTGTTTATATAGGAGCAGCAATGAATTTTAAAAACATAAGAATTTGAGACTAGAATCTTCTCTAAATGTCACATCTTTCCTAAAAACTTCATCAGTTTAACTGGATTGGCAAGAGGAATTGGCAGGGCAGAGTTACCAGCAGTGGATTCTGGAGGACTGCCATTCGTTCTGAGTTATTTGGCACTGAGTAATACTGTAAGTTGCTCTGTAATTTTTTCAAGTTAATTTGTGTGTGCACATATTGACACTTGGTATTACAGGCTCTTTGGGCATAGGGACCATCACTTCTAACTTCTTTATATCCCTGCCATCTGCTCAGTACTGGACTCAAAATAGACTTGTCACTGAATGACTACAAGAAGGCTGCCATCTTTCTAAAAATCCTATCATTACAAACTGCAATCGAGGCAGGAAGAAAAAGAATCTCAGTGAAGACAAAAGGTTTATATATATATATATATATATATATACACACACACACACACACATATATATATTCTGCAAAATATATTTTTCCTCCATGCAAAAAAATAAAATATATATATTTTTTTTTCATGGAGAAAAAAAATGTATATATATATATTTTTTTTTTTTGCATGGAGGAAAAATATATTTTGCAGAACCCGTTGCCTCCCCTCAAGTCATTGGCCAGAATTTGCTCACCAGATCATCCAGCGAGGCTGTGGAAGTAAGCACTTAGCATGCAGCCATGGTCTTGCTTTGCTTTTTCTAGGCATCTTACTGCCTCACTTAAAACTGAACTGTGTTGGTAAGGGAGAAGGAAGGAAGGTTGTAGAATCATCCCATAGCAGTGTCTTTCACAGAGAATCAGTGGGAAAACACTGAAGGCTCACATGAAGGTCTATTTTGATGTTATCTGAGTGTCTTTGGATTTTTAGAAGATCATGGCAACCATATACGTCAGGCTCCTGTTTTTTCCATCTTTTTTCCTTCCTTCGCTCCCTCCCTCTCTCCTTCCTTCCTCCCTGCCTCCCTTCCCCCCTTCTTCCCTTTTTCTTCCTTCCTCCCCTTCTTCTCTCCACCCCTTTCTCTTTGTTACTAAATAAGGCTTCTCCAGCGTCAATTTTTGGTCATACTTAGTATTCCATTGTAAATTTAATCAATGCCCTATCGTTGAGTGTTTAGATTGTCTCCATCTGGAATACTCTTAACGTAGGCTTGTTCAACTGATTGGATAATAGATACTTGAATCATTCCTTGTACTACTGCCTCATCAATTGCGGCTCCTAATTTTACATGTTCCATTCCTGCAATAGTAGTTTTTATAACACACTAGCATATTGTTCCACAACAGCACAAATTTGTTACTTTTGCCCCATCCTAACCCCTCCTGAAATTCCCTTTCCTCACAGTCACTTGTGTTAGTCAGGGTTCTGCAGTGAAACGGAACCACTGGGAGAGATACAGATATAATGAAAGAGATGTATGATGATGACTGTGGCTCACGTGATTATGGAGGCTGAGCACTCCCATGATTTGCCACCTGTTAGTTGGAGGGGCAGGAAAGCTGGTGGCCCAGGAAAGCTGGTGGCATAGTTCCATTACAAACCCAAAGGTCCAAGAACCAGGAGTGTTGATGTCCAAGGTGAGGAGAAGATGGATGTCCCAGCTCAAGACAAGAGCACGTTTGTCTTTCCACTGCCTTTTTATTCTATTCAGGACATCAGCCGATGAATGGATACATAAAATGTGGTATATATATAATATTATTTGGCAA